AACACTTAAAATACACAACACAAGGAAGTCCAATAAAGACTGGTGACGATTGGGGACCCTGTGACATTCTGCGAGTGAGATAGTGTGCCAAGATGAGAGGGGTTGATGCGCAGTAAATAGTAGTCCGTGACGACGCTAAATCGAGTTGCCGGGACGTTAACCGAATTATTGGCACTTAAAGAGTAGCGACGCTATAACGAAACATTGTTATCGGGGGCAATGCTAAACGAGGTCTTGCTGCAATTGCATTCATAAGGCAATGCGTCTCCGTGTGGAAGGACGGTAACAGTAACAGTCAACTTTTAATCCAATGCAACCCTTAAGTTAACCATAAGGTATCCAAAACTATTAGGGAATGGAATTCAATCTCAACCATATGATGCTGATCTTGTATACTTAAGATGTGGTTTCAGGACCTATTGTATAGCTAAGTACAAAATGCAAAGGATTTGCAGAAGTCAGGAAAATAAATACTAAAGTAAACCCAAAACAAGCAAGCCATTACAAACTCCGTAAGAGATACTCCATATCTTGTACTGTATGCTATAGACAAGCTAGAACATTGCCTTACATCTTAAGAGCAGACCAGCATGATTGTCCCCACAGGAGAATTTGCACTGCCAAATTTAAGGTGAATACTGTAATGTATTTCTTCACCTACAAAACAAACGGCCATTATTTCCCTTTCAAGTCCCGCCCACTAGTGGTGGAGAAAAAATACGGAAAAGTTGTCGCACCATTTTTACTACATTGGATACTTGTCCAGTTGTCGGTAAGGTAGCATTTTTGTTAGAACACCAGAAGGAGTCGACAGAATTGGACAAAACTGTGGAAGCGTTACTTACAATTTATGAAAATAGATAAATTGAAACTAGTATCTATTCAATGTCAATGGGAATTTTTTTTAAGGGTTTTACTGTCAAGTTAGGCAAGGTTACTTTAGGTTATGTTGGTTAAGTTCTATGCATTCTCATCCATTTATCTATTTAATTGTGGCAATGTTTGAGTACGGCACTACCACTGCTAGTTGTCATGTGATTTCATAATTTTTTTCACATATTATAGCAAGAAAGAAAAGACATTTATGATTACCTAATAGAACCTGACTTAACCAACCAATGAAACCTACCTAATCTTGTATAATCTCCTAGCCATATTAAACTAGTGCTTACTTTGGATACACCCCATTTCATCACCAATATCAAATCCGTTTCATCACTGGTATTAGTGATAAATTGCAAGTTATTATTCTACACGAATAGAAATTACACATGTATACAAATGAATCTAGAATTCTGTTATTATAAATGATTAGTAATTATTTCATAAGAAAACAATTAAAACTATGATAAATAAACAAAACAGAAATTACACATGTATACAGACAACTCTAGAATTTTTGTGCTATTATTATACATGAATATTAATTATTTAATAAAGAAAACTATTGAAACAATACAGAAATAAATGATTTCTTCACCAGCTTGGACGATTTGCAATTACAACTAGTTGCTGAGCAAGAGCTAAATTTGTGCTAAGAAAAGCAAACCATAAAACTGTGGGATGAAAATGAAGGAAAAATATCACCCCTTTTAATTTCCTGAAAAATTTCATTGTCTTCTACCAAGCTTGCATGTGTATTTTTTTTTAAGTCTTTTACATTGTTTAAGCAAGATGTTTGCAAGAGTATTCGGGCCTTTTTTTTCATCTAATCAATTGTCTCGGCGAGATTCTTGCATGATCCTATGTAATGTTATGCTGAAGCATTAAACAGCTACTTCTTGTCAGTTTTCACAAAGAAATTCCAGAGGTGGAACTGATATTTAGGGGAAATGAAGAAGATAAATTAAAGAAGATCACTATCAGAAAAGAGGATGTTCTTAAGATAAATAAATTAAAGAAGACAAAATCCTCAGGACCGGATGAAATTTTCCCTCGAGTTTGAAAGCGTGCAAGGAACAGATTAGCGGACCCCGTGTAAATTTATTTACAAAATCATTAGACACGGGAGCTGTGCCAGACTTGTGGAAACCGGCAAATGTAGTACCCATATTAAAAGAGGGTGACAGCATCAGCTTCAAATTACCGGCCGATTAGTTTGACGTCAGTAGTGGGGATATTTCTTGAATCAATTATAGCAAATAATATCCAATCGCATTTGGAGAAAAACAAATTAATCTACAACTCAACATGGGTTAACAAACGGAAAATCTTGTCTAAGAAATCTGCTGACTTTTTTGGGGGAGAAGTTTTCGAGGTAGTGGATAATGACAAAAATTACGATGTTATTTACTTAGACTATAGCAAAGCATTTGACAGTACCGCATCAGAGGCTTCTGAGAAAAGTTAAGGCTCATGGTGTTGAGGGGAAGTTTTAAATTGGATAAAATCATCGCACACCGAGAGAACACAGAGGGTCAGCATAGATGGTGTTAAATCATAGCGAGGCTGTGTAACTAGTGGGGTTCCCCAGGGGTCAGTACTGGGCCCACTCTTGTTCATAATCTACATAAACGATCTAGATACTGGGATCAGCAGTGACAAAAGCAAGTTTGCGAATGACACCAAAATAGGGCGGCAGATTAATTCGGGGAAGGATGCAAATGCACTACAGGATTTAAATAAACAGCAGGAGTGGTCAGAAAAATGGCAAATGAAATTCGACACCACCAAGTGCAGCATACTTAATATTGGAAGAACAAATACTGTCAATGTATACAGCCTTAACATCAACCAAGAGAAGTCGACTTGTGAAAGAGACTTAAGGGTATTTGTAAGCCCGGACCTATGGCCTAGAAAACCGTGCATTAATGTTCGAAATATGGCAAACAGTATTAGGTTTTTATCTATTAGTGTAAGTAATAAGACTGCAGAGGTCTTATTGCAACTATATCTTGCGCTAGTCAGGCCGCACCACGATTATGCGGTTCAGTTCTGGTGCCCTTATTATAGAATGGATATCAATTCACTGGAGTCGGTGCAGCGAAGAATGACAAAAATAATTCCAGGACTTAGAAACCTTCCATATTCACTATAGTCGGTGCAGCAAGGAATGACGAATATGATTCGGGGACTTGGAAACCTTCCATATCAGGATAGGTTAAACATAAGAAAATAAGGAGTCTGCAATAGGCCGGTTGGCCTGTGCATGGCAGCTCCTGTCGAGAGTTACTACCACTCTCTATTATCCATGAATCTATCTAGCCTCATTTTGAAACTTTCCAGAGTTCCCGCACTTACTACAAAGTTGCTAAGCTTGTTCCACTCGTCCACCACCCTATTTGTGAACCAGTTTCTTCCTATCTTCCTCCTAAACCTAAACTTATCCAACTTGAATCCGTTGCTCCGAGTCCTATCCTGCTCGGATATTATAAGAACTTTATCTATATCCCCTTTATTGATTCCTTTCACCCACTTAAATACTTCTACCACAGTGGTAACGAAACGGGTAACACTGTGGTAACGAAATGGGCACACCCCCTTATTTTGGTATCTGGTACCAATGAATTCAACTCTGTCGTAGAGACATGGTGTAATTGTACGTATTTTGTGGACATTAGTTGTAAACAAACCGAATATGCACAGACTCGGCATATTTTCCGGAGAAGTATTTATGGCAAATTAATCTCTTCACATACAAAGCGTTTTAGTGTCATATAATCAGTTTTTCACGATGATTTACGTGAAGAAACTAATTATTTACAATAAATATTCTGCTGTCTCGGCACCCACTGTTTGGACCGAGCATACTCTTACGTCAACAAATAAAATTACATCAGGACGCTTCAAAAAATTTCCTATCATATCGAAGCAAGTTAGGCAAGGTTGGATAGGTTTCTTAGGTTAGGTCAGGTTCTAGTTTTTTCTGTGCATTGTCATATTTTTATTATGATCCTCTAAAATACATGTGAAAAAAAATTAAAATCAAACGACAACTCTGGTGGTGGCCATCTGCTCCACTTTTACCCCCCCAAAATCTACCTAACCAACATCCGGACAAATATCCAAAGCCTTTTCATTATTATAATCCAAGCATTTCTGGAAAAATTAACCAATTCTATAAACCTTTTCCTCCATTAATACCACCTCATCCACCAACAGCTTCCTTCCTTTCCCACATTTAATTACCCTGGATGACAATGAATACTCGCAACAGTTTATATTACTCGGAACAAACAAATGAAAGCGAAGACGAATGACTGCAAGCTACAAACGTTTGTGACCACATGAAAATAAACAAACATTCAAGAACTACCAATACTCATTCATAGCGCTTGTTCACACACAGTTCTCACCGATTCACTAGATCTAGCAGGTCGACTCTCCTTTAGGAAGCAATATTTTACTTTGGCTGTCCTCCCAAGACGTTCTTTAAAGGGAACTGTTAAGCATTTTAATTCTAGAGGAAAAATTGGTAACAACCCATATGACTTCTACTTCCATGCTTCATCAAACTTTTACATAAATAGGAAAATTCTAGATAAACCACAAGAGTTCCAACTTTCCGTCATCCTAATATCTTGAAACCATTAAATATTTAGGAAAAAGCTGGAAAAAGTTCACGGTAACAAGTGCATGGCAACCGATTCACAGCAAAATAGCCTCAGCCCAACAAGTAAGCTCTAAAACGCTCATGGGATCATGTTCCATGCATAAACACTATAATTTACATTAAATCTCGTAAGTTTTAAAATTTCATCACCATTATCCATCAAGTGATCATTATTCTTTGACACGTGCATGACAGCATGTAAAATATGAATTTTGTGATTCATCATCATGTGCAACCTTTGATGTCCACGCGGAGGCGGCCATGACACCTTCACCAGGTACACCAACGTCCATATGGTACACTTTCTATTACATTCATCGCCAAAGTAGGCCTTCCTTAACTTCCTATGGCTTACAGTACAGCTGTCTAAACGAACCATAAATGCATATTAACCAATTATATTGAAAACTAAGAAAACATAAGATAAACCTTGATGCTCAGTACTCACCAACAACGTCACGAACACAAACTGCTTCTTTTATACTTCTGTTTCTAAAACCGTTTGCAATTTTTATTTGGATTTTATTATTTTATATTTTTTTTGTTATTTTTTGAGTTTTATGACAAAGATTATATCGAGTGGTGTGTGATACTAATAAAATTAGCGACACACAACCACACGTGAACAGACCCTACGTTAAATGAAATAGGGGTAACCGAGTCGCAGCCGCTGGTTATATTTATAAGCTCCGACCCACCAACCCACATCTTCCTCCGCCACATAAACTAAACACCCCTTCCAGCCTATATCATATTACCAACCCCAGGTTACTTTCTTTGAATCTAATCATGCCTCGTAGTTAATATATGAAGTGTACAGCTGTTATAGTAATTTAAATAATATTTTGTCAGATTTCGTGAAAACCTGAGGTAAACAGACCTCTGACGTCGTTGTGAAAGTGATATTACTACGCCGAAAATATCACTTATTGTTAACGTTTCCACGTAGGAATTTCTGGAATATTAATCTACACGATTAACGTGGCTACGGCAATCTTATTTCAAAGAAATATATTTATGAAATGACTGTATTCAAAATAACACTAGAAGCTCTTATGTTTTCAAACACATGAAGACAAATGTTAATAATACTTCCCAAGATTGTCGCACAAGAGACCAAGGCCAGTAACTGGAACGTGACTGTTGCTAAAGGGTTTGCACAATAACTCCAAGTTGTTAGTTTTGCTTTCTGAAACCTTAAATGCATTAATAACCCTCATAGATCGAGCAAGTTTCTAACAACATGACAATATTCATGAAAACGGTAATAAAGATGCAAACATGAAAATAAATGCCTTTAAAAACATTGTGTGCAAACTAATATATATATATATATATATATATATATATATATATATATATATATATATATATATATATATATATATATATACTGTATATATATATATATATATATATATATATATATATATGCTGATAACCACAAGGAAACAAGAAAACGCAGTTCCCAAGCGCTTTCGTGTAATTCACATTTTCAGGGGTGAGTACAGACTTCCCCCATGTAGTTATTATATCTCTTATTTGTATCACTTATGTTATTTGTATATTATTTGTAAATCGAAACCCATTCCCCAATTATGTAACTGTATATTTTCAGCCTTCTGGCTGCTAAGCTCTTTCAATAAACCGTTAATTATATATATATATATATATATATATATATATATATATATATATATATATATATATATATATATATATATATATATATATATATATATATATATATAATGTATGTGTGTGTGCCTGCTTGCATGTGTTCCCCGCAAATGGTAATTTCCCAAATAAAATACCTGTGGTCATCCCAAACCCACAAAGTGCAGCAAATCGCATGCTAGATTTCCTTGAAACTTCTGACTGTCTCCACTAACCTAATTTTTGTCTTGGGCAACTGGATGTCATTCAGTCTCAGTTATGTCTTTTGGATATACAAGGACGACTTAACATGGTCCGTTTCATTGCACATGTTTTATTTCTAACATTTTATTCAAGTGATCACATGTGAGTGGTAGATGGGAAGTGTGAAAGGGAATTATCGGTGGGTATGAATAGATGAAGTACATTCTAATTGTCTGGGGTACTTAGCTTTCACTTTGCCTCTTATTTTGATGAGAACCGAGGGAACGGGTTGGCTTTAAGTATGTGTGCGTGTGTGTGTGTGTGTGTATGTACTGTATGTACAGCACGTGCAAAATTGCTGCAGATAATCACGTACCTTACATAATTCTTCTATACACATGTTTTTATTTCACGGCAATTATTTTCACGCGTCGCCATTACTTTATTTCTAGGCCAAATACTGTATGTGAAACTCTTGAGTACTATGTTGCCCACGGGAAAACACCTGCGGATAAATACAGTACAGTATTTACTGTAATTTTTTAAAGATAAAAGAGATATCATTACAAAATCGCATTTTGTAAAATCATTTTCGCCACTTGTCAACTTCATTGGTCCGAAATGCCCTCATATTTCCATTAATGAGCATGAAATTTAACGAAAAGATAAATTACACCAACCTACTTATATCAGAGCAAAATAAGCTCGAAAGTTTACATTTTGACTGCAGAAGGATACTTACAGTTTAGTAAATCCCACTCGCAGCTGCAGATTGGTAATAAGAACATAAGAACATTAGAATGGAGGAAACTGCAGCGGGCCTATTGGCCCATACTGGGCAGTCCCGTTTACACCCAGCCCCTATTGCTCATATAAGCATCCAACCTATGTTTGAAGCTATTCAGCGTATTCGAGTTAATGATGATATTTGGTAACTTGTTCCATTCATCCACTACTCTCTTTCCATACCAGTGTTTACCTATTTCACGCCTAAATCTAAATTTGTACAACTTAAAACCATTGTTACGAGTTCGCTCCTGGTTGGTTAGTTTGAGTACCTTTATAATGTCCCCTTTGTTTAGCCCTGACTTCCACTTATACACCTCTATCAGGTCGCCCCTCGCTCTACGTCTCTCTACGTCTCTCGAGGGAGTGTAAATTAAGATGCTTTAACCTGTCTCTATACTCAAGGTTCCTAATGCCCGGGATTAGTCTTGTCATTCTCCTCTGAATTCTTTCCAATGATTCTTTATCCATTCTGTAATACGGTGACCAGAACTGAAATGCGTAATGCAGGTGTGGTCTCACAAGAGCAAGATACAGTTTTAGGATGACCTCGCTAGTCTTGTAACTAACACTCCTTTGTATGAACCCAAGTACTTTATTAGCCTTGTTACGAGCAAAAACACATTGTTTACTTGGCTTAAGGTTCCTACTTATCATTACTCCTAAATCTCTCTCGCAGTCGGATTTCTCTATGGCATCGTTGTTTAACTGGTATCTGGTTTCCCTGTTTACATCTCCTATACTGAATACTTTACATTTGTCCACGTTGAATTTCATCTGCCATTTTTCAGACCATTCGAAATATTTGTTTAGATCTTCCTGTAGTTTTGCTGAGTCCTCGTCAGATTTAATAACACGTCCTATTTTGGTGTCATCAGCAAATTTACTTATGTTGCTGTCTATGCCGATATCTATGTCGTTTATGTATATAATAAATAATAATGGTTCAAGTACTGAGCCTTGGGGAACTCCACTTGTGACGTTGCTCCAATGGGACTTAGTGCCGTTAATGCTCACTCGCTGTTTCCTGTCCTGTAACCACGCCCTAATCCATTTAAGGATGTTACCTTTGATGCCATGAGCTTCTACCTTTCTAATTAGTCTTTCGTGGGGGACTCTGTCGAAGGCTTTGCTAAAGTCAAGATATACCACATCATAATTGTGCCCCTCGTCCACCGATTCGAAAACTGATGAAAAGAATGTTAATAGATTAGTTAGACAAGAACGTCCGCTTGTGAAGCCATGCTGGGAATCATTGATCAATCAGTACTTTTCCAGGTGATTTCGAATAGAGTTTGAAGTGATTGCTTCCAGTAATTTGCCTACTATTGATGTTGGACTGATTGGGCGGTAGTTAGAGGATAGTGATCCATCCCCCTTCTTGAAAATCGGTATTACATTCACTATCCTCCAGGATTCTGGTACTACACCTGTTTTTAAGGACATGTTAAACAACTTTGCTAAGGGCATACTAAGCTCTTCCTTACATTCCTTTAATACTCTGGCAAATATCTCATCAGGACCAGGTGACTTATTAGGCTTTAGTTTGTCTATTTGCTTACTAACATCGTTACTAGTCACTACTATCTCGCTTAATTTGTTTTCTTCACTATCTCTGAATAGAGTCGGTGCCTCGGGTATCATGTATAAATTTTCGGTGAAAAAAACTGTTGAAAAATATTTATTCAAATTATTGCTCATTTCTCTGTCGTTATCAGTGAGCTCGCCGGTATCTGACCGTATTGGTCCAATCTTTTCTCGTGTTTTAGTTTGATACATTTGGTAGAATCCTTTGGGGTTTGTCTTCGCCTCCCTTGCTATCCTTACCTCATTATTCCTCTTGGCTTTTCTTATCTCGGTTTTAACCCTACTCGCCAATATCTTATAATAATCCTGGAGGTAAATTTCGCCACGCTTTATCCTTCTACCTATAGCCTTCCTTTGGCCAATGATGTTCTTTAAATAATTATTTATCCATTTCGGGTCATTGTTGTCTGATCTGAGTTTTTTGTATGGTATGTTCTGCCTCTGTGCATTAAGTAACTCATTATTTAAATTGACGTGGAACTCGGCAGTCTCAGATATCGTTATCTGGTCGGTGTCATCTGTCAGGTTCATGGCCAAGCGCGACACCCCCTCTCTCAGCTGCCTCTTTAAACTGTCAAAGTTTGCCCTTCTGAAATCTGGTACTTTAGTGGAATTTTCCTTACGTCTGCCCTGAAAATCTAACTGGAATCGAATTTCTTTGTGATCGCTGTTTGCAAGTTCTTTCCCTATCTCGACATTGCTAATGAGGTTTCCTCTGTTCGACAGAACTAAATCGAGTATATTATTACCTCGTGTGGGTTCGGTTATATGTTGACTTAGGAAACAGTCCTGGATCGTCTCGAGAAAATCCTCTGATTCTGAGTTACCCGTAAGGTCAGTCCAATCTATTTGGCCAAGGTTAAAGTCGCCTACTATACAGACTTTGTTGTGTATGGAAGCCCTGCACATTTCATCCCAGATAAGTCGCTCATTGACTATCAAGATTGGGAGGTCTATATATTACTCCTGTGATTAATTTTTCCCTACCGTCGCTTAATTCTATCCAAATTGTTTCTGTATTCCGCTCAGTTTTTATTTCCTTATTTATTTCACACTTCAGATTATCCCTAACATAGATTGTTACTCCTCCTCCTCTCCTGGTTTGCCTATCGGTATGGAACAATTTGTAACCCGCAATTTGGTATTCGACCGGCAACTCACGTGAGTCTAGGTTGATCCATGTTTCAGTGAATGCTATTATATCGATTTTTTCGGTACATACCAAGGCCCTAATATCATCCATTTTGTTTCTCATACTTCTACTGTTCGCGCAGTAGACATTTAAGTTAGTCGTGTTCTGAGTCCTCCCTTTACCGCGTTTAGTTTTAAACTCCCTGTTTAATTTAGTTTTGTCATCATTCCTAACACTATTTCCCTGTAATCTTTTACTTTGTTTACCCGCTCCCACTGCAGTTTCCCCTACCCCCA